GGGAGCGGGGAAGGCGGCTGCGCCTTCCTCAGAGACATTCCGGCTTCCGTTTGTGTTTTTTTCTTCCCCGTCTTTCCAGAAAGTTTGTGTTTTTCAACATCCCCCAGATCCAGTACAAGAATCCTTGGCTGCAGATCATGCTCTTCAGGAACATGACCCCCTCGCCCTTCCTCCGCTTCTACCTGGGTAGGTGCCGCCTCGGGCTCCTGCCCCGCACCGAGCGGGGCTTTCTCCGCACAGGAGCATCAGAGCAGCGGCGGTTTTCACGACAGAAGCGCCGGCTGAGCCGCGTGTCTGTCATTCTAATTTGGCTCCCGGCCTGCGAGGCGGGAAGAAGGGTGTTCGTTCAGAACCGTGGCTTTGTATGTGAGTAAACACCCTGCACTCACCTCCACTTCTGCCAGCTGCCCCAGGAGCCGTCCTAGATTAAGGCTTTGCTTTTCCTTTGAAGCCTTAGATGGTACATTAGCTGTAGTAGAGAAACAGATGTCTTAAGTTTTGTGCGTTTAAAACGCTTTTTGCAGCTCCTGTGAAACAGTACTATTTGATATACTATTACACATCTTTCTTGACAGACAACGGAGAGCAAGTTTTGGTTGATGTGGAAGATAAAACCAACAAAGAGATAACTGAGCACATTAAAAAAATCTTGGGGAAAAGCAAGTAAGTAACACTTGATAAGTTAACATACAGTCTAGCATACAACATAGTACAATCCCTACAAACTTTTGCCAGGTATACAGAAGGAAATATCACTTTTCCCAGACAAAAAAAAATCCATGAGCTAAATAAAGTCCACAAGCTAGGACCTGTAAATCCATCTTTCTGGTAAACAGGGTCCACGGAAGGGAGAGGAAAGGGAGCCATTCACACTTCTGCTAGTAACAAACAGATCTCTCTTTCTAGAGAAACGCTTGAAAAAGAGGAAAGAGAAAAGAAAAAGCTATCACATCCAGCAGCTTTTGGGCCCAAGAAGTATCATCTGCGAGAATGCATGTGTGAGATTGAAGGCCAAGTTCCCTGCCCTGCTTTTGTGCCACTGCCCAAAGAGATGAGGGGAAAATACAAAGCTGGTATGAAAAATGAAGCATCAGCCTGACATCTCCAAGTCATGCAGTTGTTTTTCCTCAGGGCTGGATGATCAAGGTACTTGAGACAGACAAAAGCTAACAGCTCCTGGAAACAGGAACGAGCAAGTTCATATAATAGAGAACCTTGTCTTAGAAGTCTTCTTAGAGCTACAACTAGAATAATTACAGTGAAAAATAAATAAAAGTTAAAAACTCAGCTTTTTCTGTGCCAGTTTTACAAAGCATTACAGTCACCACTGCATAAAACATAACAAGGAAAACAGAATGCCTGCATGTATACGGTTATGGCAAAAACAGTATCATGTTTGCTTTGGGATAGAGAGACTAAGACTAAAAAGTTAATTTCTCTTTGAAACAGTACAGAACTCCAAAATTTAAAGAAAGTGGTGTAAAAGTATTCCTGACAATTTCCATCTTGTACTAACTGAAGACAGCCTAATGATAATGTAACTCCAGGCTCAAGCTACGTGCAGAATCTTCTTAATTTATTTCGTTACCACTCAAACAGTTAAAAAGTCTAATTTACAACAAGATGCAATTTTTGCAGTTGACAGTGCAGCGCTGAGAAGCACTGATCAAGTAAAGAATATCCGAGGTAAAGGAGAATATGTCATCTGGTATTTGAAAGATAGGCTTTACAGTTACATTTATAGTCCTTCAAAAAAATTTTAAAGCTACTCTTAAATTGCAGTAATTTTTTCCTTTAGAAACAAAAACACACACAAAAGAGAACTGTGTCTAATCAACTTCCAGCAAATTCTAGCCAGCAAGTCCATTCTGCTTCAAAGTCCAGTGGTGCTATAGAACTCCTCTAACCTCCAACACTCCTGCTCCCTGAAGATGGTCAAAGATGCCTTCTAAATCATCACAGCTTCTGCCTCACCAAACAATTACACTATAGCTGTAATAGTAGATAAACGTATAATAATCGTACTGTTTTGCTTGGAATTTGGTAGTTACACTTACCTTTAAGTCAGACCTATTAATGCAGGTTACTGTAGAGCTGCATTTCTGAGCTAATGGTCAAGTACAAAATTTCACACCAATTTAGGCATACTATAAAAATGGTCAAGGATGAACACAGCACAAAATAAACATGTTGTTTTATTTCATCTCTGTTTACAAAGTTTCCATACAGAGTAGTGCATGCAATTTTAACAAAAGTCAATGCTCGTTATTTATTGAGCTTTATGGTTAAGATGTCTGCATTCCGTTGTGCCTTGTGAGCCTCACAGCAGTCCAAATACCAGCATAAGGTCTTCACTTTGGAGATTACTTCAGTATCAGATGTCTAGTCTATCACATTTAACACTGACAAAGATCATGAGGTATGCTAGTCTTACCTGCTTGTAAAAATACATTATTAAATGTACAATAAAGATACTTTAATTATTAGTGTATTAGACTGAAAATACAAAGAAGGCGGGATAGTTGCAAGAAGGAAAAAAACTCCACTTTTTAACTGTGAAAGCTAAAGTCACTGAAACTTTTTTTTTCATGTTGATACCAAAAGCTTTGGGTAAAAAGCTTTGGGTTACAGTGCAGGGAGCAATCATCTTGACTAGCAAACACGTCTGTCTTAAGTAACTACCTTGTACTATTTCTGTTAAAACAAACAATTCCAGGGATTGTGTTTTTATATATCCTAACTTTTTTTTTTTGCTGCCTTCATAAATCTAGTGCTACAGTGCACACGTTTTCTTAGTTTACGACCCTTCACAATCCTCCGTTCTTCACTTTACTTGGTGCACACTCAGGGACTCAGTCAACTCTAACAAAACATCTCGGTGTAAAAACTTCAAGGTCTTAAGACAATCTGTTCTGCATACCTTTCAACTTCAGATTTAGGCTACAGTAAGAAGAACATCAGCTGTCCTTAACTGGCTGCTACAAGTTATTTTGATCAGTTACTAGTTGTATTGAGGATATAGGTGGTTTTGTTTGTTTTTTTAAAAAAGTTCCACAAGTCCCTACCTCCACGTATTTAGAGCAAAATAAAATTAAGAGTTCCTGCTCTTTAGGTAGCCTAATTATTTGTGTCTCTAAAATACTATGCAATGCTTGGCTTAGAACTAAAATGTAATTTATGCTAAAATACATAATCAGAGACATAGTTAGAAGACATATCCCATTCCACAAAAGTTTATACTTCTGAATAAGCCCACTATTAGTGCTACACAGTGTCATCTGCCTTATTTCCCTCTTTCAGCTGTAAACAAATACACCCTTCAGATTAACTCACCCCACCACCCTTTCAAACACTGATGCCCAGTTGGACCTCTGGCTTTCAAAGAGAAAAATCCAAGCAGCTCAGGCTCCATCCTTCACAAAGATAGAGGTTTTAGATACCTAACCCTGAAGTGATCCTACATCTGATACCAGTCTTCAGAAGCCCAGCTCTAAGCCCTCCTGTGTCACAGGTGCCATCATCTTGTCATGCCCCAGACAACAGGATAACTCCAATTTGGAGCTTCTTATTTAAGACAGACGTGCCTGTCTCTCTTAACAACTTCTGAGGGAAATCAAATATGAAAGGGAATTGCTATTTGGCACTATTGCAGCCACAGACTTTGTCTCCCTGCTTTCACACAACTCCAGTTCAGTGGCATTTCAGCTCTTCACTATAAACAAGATTTTTGTTCCTTGAATGCTACAAAAAGAGTTCCAGTCTCACTAGTATGAAAAACATGATCATTCTGTCACCCAGAGACTTTAAAGGAATGTGTAGATTCCATAAGATAATTATGATTTGGAGGGTCACCCTTTATATTAGTTTGAGATGGTGCTACCCTGATGTTTTTTTCCCTGGAAACGAGTAGGTATTTGTTCCCACACAAACAAGTCTCTGAAGCCAGGAGCACTGTGCTCTCTATTACACTGTAGTTTGTGCTCAGAATACATGGGAAGCTAAAAGTGATGAAAACACAGCATCTGAATTTTACTTGGGAATTTTTATAAACACATTAAAAAGTTACTCATATGAACATCAGTTACAGTTCTCCGTCTTAAAATCCCTTTTATGTATTAGCATTGCACAAAGCTTATCTGCCAGCCTGTATATTCTGGCCCTCGAATCACAGTAGCCTTTTAATAGTACATTCTCATAACACCATTCAGCAATTAAGCTAGCTTGTAACACTGCACTGTGTCATTATCAGACGATGCAGAAGTTTTAGAAAAGTTTTTGTCTCTCTCTAGTCAAAGCCTCACTTGAAAGGCCAGTACTACAACAGAAAGGGGGAAAGATGAAAAGTCAACATTGCAACTATTTCCAAATCATAGCTCCCTAATAGCATTAACCACTTTGACCAAAATAAGCACACAGTAAGACCAGTTAGCATTAAAAGTGTTGTAACAAGTTACTTTTTAAAATTTCTTAGTATAAGTGTTTGAGACCAGCAACATACCTCAGTAATTCTTTCTTCAAGACTGATTAGTAGTGAAAATGCCTAACAGAAAGTGCATAAAACTCAAAATTCTCCCAATTCCCACTTGTGATCTCTACTTATACTTATCTGTTCTACCTCTCAATCTGTAACAGCAGACTTAAAAAGAATTATTACACAGTCCCGCTGCTGCTTCAGCAGGTGGATTTTTCCTTCTGCTTTGCTAATGTGCGCTTCAGTTCCTTTAAGTTCTCCGTCAGTACCTCCACCTCATCCATTCGTCCACTGTGTTTGGCATCAAATATATAAGCTTTGATATTATCTATCTGTTGGAGAAGCAGCTCTTCCTCTATAGCCTCCTCTCCAGATACCTCATTGCCATCCTCCACTTCAAAGGGATTTGTAGAGGATCCCTCTTCAAATGGATTCCCAGAATTCCAGCTGCCTAGAGGCTTTTGAAATGGATTTTCATCCTCTTCAAAAGGATTTGAAGTGCTGCCAGGTGCTCCATTAGTTTGTTCATCCTCTTCCTCATTTTCAAATGGATTATATTCTTTTTTATCACTTTGCAGAGCTGTGTTAGAGAAAGAAACCACTGGAGAAGGGTCTTTGGCAAATGGGTTACCAGGATCTTCCTCTGACTGAGGGGTATCTGCTTCATCTTCAAAAGGGTTTAGACAAGCTGTCTGATCTTTATCACGCTGTGGGACACTCTGGGGTTTGAGTGTGAAGATCAGGTGCTCTTTATCTTTAGCTGGCAGCTGCTCAACAGCAGGAGTTTCAAAACTTGGGTCCCCTTTGACCTGAGTAATATCCAAATCCAATGCACCTGCTGTCAAGTTGCGATCCTCTTTTGCAACTTCATGCTGATGCTGCTTGACTTCTCTGAAGTCTAAGGAGCATGTCCTTGAATGCTGAGACATTAATTTGTGGTGTTCTCTTTCCCACTCTTTTTCACGAAGGACCTGAAGTTCCTCCCTCTGCATCTCTTCCTCTTCTGCCTGTTTTTTAGAAAGCTCAATAGCTTTCAGAGTTTGTTGTTGATCATACTCATCCTGAAGCTGCCTCAAGTTCTCTTGCAACATATGGACCTCGTCTATTCTATTAGCTGCCTTTGCTTGCTTAATAAAGGATGTGATATTGTCAATCTGCTGAAGAAGCGGGTCTGCTATCTCACTCTGTCTTGATATGCTCGATGTAGGTAGCCAGCCTTCAGATTTCCTGACTGTCCCTTTTTTCAGGTGAGTTGCATCACCGTTAACTGTGGCTGCAGATCTGCAGATAAAGTCTTTCTGCTTTTCCTCTTGTTTTCCGTGTGTTTCAAGAGCCATCTAAAACAACCAAAAAAAAAGTAGTAAGAGAACACCATGAGCTTGAAAAATTCTGTTCTAAGTATCCACAGGTGCAAGTTAGCTGATCTTAGACATTGCTGGCTGTCACTGAAAGGGGTCATCTGCCTTTTTGGTTACTTTGTAGAAAACGCTTATTTTTATAATACTACATAAATGCTTCCCTTCAGTTTGTTTGTGATATCGATCAAAATCCCATGACATCTGCCTCTACAAACTTGAGGGCAGGTAGGAGCAGTGACAGAGCTTTATATAGAGCAAAAAAAATGCCTAATGCAACTGCACAAAGAGTGGTCTAGATTGATTTGGACAGTAACTGCATCACGTCTGGCTACAGCAGGTATCCGTAATAGAACATCAGTGATAAAGGTCACTGATATTATTAGTATTGGGAGTGCAACAATTGTTATTTCTCAACTTCTACCTCAAGATAAAGCTGGTTTAGTTTAAAATTGATTATGTCCTCCCTCCTAGCTGAAAAAAACCCTTTCCTTATGAAGAGTCATGCTTATTCTAATACGTCCTTTCTCACCACCAAAAGAAATCTTCGAATTCTACTTGTACAAATGAATTCCAGAGCACAATCTGAAAATCCACATGAACTAACTTAACCTGTCTTACCATATGCAGTCTTCTCTTCTTCAGTTCTTCATATTGATCTTTGGTTGGCAGGGACATTAGGCCAAGCAATTTTTCCTGGCAAGAATTGAAATATTTACAACTTTGCTTGCAGGCATTCAGACAATTTTCAAGTACTTGAAAAGAGAGATACCACCAACAGAATACCCCAAAACCAAATAAAAGGTACTTCTACACTGCAGTCGCTGCTTCAGGTCTGAGCATGCCTTTGCTGCCGTAACTTACCTGCTAGCAAGGTTCACACCTCACTAAGAGACAAAGCCAAGATCCACACGTTCTCCTAAGTCCCTAAACTCAATGCTGCTCTGACTACACTATCTGTATTCAAGCTGGCTCATTTAAGACTACCGTAAGTCAATAGGGGAACTACAGAAAATGTATATAACTAAACCTCCTGTTAAAATAGTTTCAAACCACGGCAATGCCTGGCAAAGAACAGAATACTACATAAAATTTACATTCATCTCATAACATACACTCCATTTACCTGAACAAAAAGTGTAGCTGAATATCTTATCATTCTCTGAAGCTGTAGTGTTTTAGGATGAGGTTGGGGATTTTCATGCAAGCCTAGACTCAAAATCTTCTTACTGAATCAAAGCAAACACACAGCCTCATCAGTTCAAAAACAAGAACCAGCAAAAATGCAAAAGGGGAGAGAGACAATATTGGATGAAAATTTTCTGATTTTTTTTTTTTTCTTGGTAAACCATTTTAGATATTACAAGTTATAACACTTCCCACTCCCACCGTTTAAAAAACAAAAACAAAACCAACAACAACAAAAAAAAAACCCCACACCTGCAAAACAACAAACACAACTGTCCACTATTTGTTTCCTCTGTGCTTAGTTATTTCCACTGCAGAGGAATGCATGATTTTTAAGGCTGGAAAAGGGAGCAGAAATTGATGGTGCACAGGAACAGCATCTACCTTTTCACATGCTCTTTACAATTGAACAGACAAATTGATTATGCATATGAATAAACAGGTAAATGCTGCACAGAGACTCCAACAGTTCAGAAAAAAACTACACAGAACTCATAACAGAGAGAGATACAACGGCCGGAGGGGGGGGAGGAGGGCAAGGGGGAGAGAGATCTTTTACCTTAAGGCATCTATAAATTCATATACTTTTTGAATCTCCACCCTCAAGTCATTAGCACGTTCAAGATTGTAGGTTGTCTCCCCAGCACTAAGAAATAAATAGTTTATTGTAAGTCACACATCCAGCTACCAATACATACAACACTAGAAGTTATCCCAAGATGACTCAGACTCAACAACAGTAAGAATAGCTAACACTAAAGGGGCTTAACGATTTTATTTCAAGCTCACTGTGTTTAAAAACTGTTTCTTTACGACAGAAATAGAAAATAACAATCACCTTGTGAACATGAACATTTCATAAAAGATCATTTTATTTATGATTGTATTATTTATTATTCTAGGAGAAATTGTATTTTAAACACAAGAATGCCACTCTACAAATAATACCTAAAATGCACATATACTTAGCAAATACATCTAGTATTTGTTTGTACAAATGTACATCTGGTATTTGTACATCTAGTTTGCGTTTTTTTCCAGGCAACTGGATGCAGAAAAAAAAAAACAGACTGATTGAGTAAGTAACTATACCATTAAAGTAAAATAGTTACCCCTACTAACGTTTGTCAGAAAGCAAAAGCCTGTAACTCCCCATGGGTATAATATTTAATATGCTAGTAACCAACTGTCCACATGGGGACACAATCAGTTATATGTACATTACTAGAATCTCACATTTACTGACAGAACAAATTAGGATTTAACAGGGAAGACTTCACCATTTTTTAGCTTCTCTCTCCTTTTATATCAAAAAATAAAAAAATATAAGGATCACTCTCTCAAAAGCAACTTCACTCTCCATATGGTTCCAGTTTCTGGGACTCACTACGACTCAGAAATCTTTAACTTCATCAGTAAGAAATCTGTTGTTTTCTGAAATGTGCTTCCACTATCCAGGATATTAGTATTTTTACTCTTCTCCAGCTGTCAAGCCATATAACACCAGCTCTCTTGAAGTCACAACAAAAAGCAGTAACGGCTTAGCATGTTTTTCGTCTTCTATACTTCTTTCTTCCTTTTGGGGGGTGTGTTTTTACAAACAGCTTTGTTACAATGAATGACAGCCTAATTTTTCTACAACCCTCAGAAATAAAGGACAGGTACAGAAATATTTGTTAACTTTAACTTGCCAAATGGAGATACTTCCTAGTCTAAGACCAATGTGTGTTATTTCTCTACTATACAAGCCAGAAGTATAACCTGACAACTTCTTGCAGATATAGCTGAAGAGATTTGAGAAAATACTGCCATGAGAAATTATGCTCCAAAGGCTGATATGTGAATGCTGCTTATCCACTGCACCACAGGGCAGGCCAGCTAGATTTAGAACAACTGTCAGGTGAAGGTGGCTTTCTTCACACAAGAACAGATGAGAAGCATTCAAACAGTCCTTTGGTGCTGGTACTACTTGGAAGCCATACTATTCAGCTGGGGGCAGTAACATCCTACTTCAACTCTTTCAAAGAGGCTCATTTACACAGGTTGTAGCCTGGTACTCCCTTTTTGCAGAGCTGACATGTCAAAGTATGACAGTGGCAACCCACTGTAAGTGCCTTTAAAAAAAAAAAAAAAGAATCTGACTTTTTCTCTGTATGCAATATTGCCATTAATAATTAATCCAGTACTACTTTGTTTGAAGAGCATCCAAAAGACAACAGATAATCTAACACTGCTTTTTTGTATAATGAACACACTCTTGCAGCCTTAGCATGCCACTTCCTTACTCCTTCCCACACTTCTGGGGAGGAAAGATACATATATTTATAAACAAAATCAGTGAATGGGGCTTACTTTAGTGATTCTGCCATTCTTATGTATTCTGGTGCCTTCTGGTCAACCTTCTCCATGCAGAGTCGGAGTTTCTTGTTTAAAACAAAATGTATTATAAAAAAAAAAAAAGAACTTATATCAAAACACTAACGTAAGAACATGCTGAAATAAACATTTCATGCTGCCTGTGTACATTCAAAGTTAACCCTGATGAAATCCATTTAACCATTCAGGATGACAAGACCCTCCAGTTATCTTCAGAACACAGAAGGCATGGTTAGGAACGGAGAAAGACTCCCCGTAGCCCTGCAAGGTGTATTTTGAATTCAGAACCTATTTTAATGGATGACCTGGACCACTTCTAGAGTTAAATCTCTTCACAAAGAGCACCAACTCCCATTAATACTAACCTGGGGGGTTTGCAGACTCTACTCAAAAAATACCAAATGACTGTGAGCACCTGCTTGTAAAACATTTGAACACAATGATCCAGCCGTACGCTGCTGATTGACTTAAATGGTTCAAAAAAAAAAATTTGCCATCAACATGAGGCAAATAGTGCTGACAGTATCTAGTCCTACAGTTCCAGTGCAGCCCATCAACAAAGTGCACAGCATAACATTAAACAAGAACTGATCTGAGGAAGCCCAGCTGACATAGTTCACAATTGTAAGAGAGGCATCTCAGAACTATTAGTTCCAGATTATGAGAATCAAGATGTATATTAAAATTATGTTTGAAGTTATCATGGGATATAAATATTATATGGCAACTGGCTCCATCATTTCAGATATATCATTGTTACGTGGCATAAACACCCAACAGAGTCTATTCCAACACAAGTGAGTATTAAGTCATAAAGTAAGAGCTTGGACATGGGATAACAAGCCAAAGGTCAAGTAGTGACAACTGCAGATATATACACTGGCAGATGAAAGCAGCAAAGAGTTGGACTTACTTCATAGAGTTTCACAATCTCTGGAGTGTATTCTCTCTCATCAATCTGTTGTTCTCTTTTCAATAGGGTATCTTTGCAGTGCCGACAACAACGGATCCGGTCATCATCCTTCTCATCCACAACTGAACTCACACTGCTTATGCTGCTGATGCTGCCACGGCGGGAGCCATGGACACTATTAGGTGAGGAGTTTGGGCTGGTATGAGAACCCAAAGCCTCTTTGCTGGCACTGGTGAGTTTGCCTACAAATTATACATAGGTACTTTTACCGTGATTGGAGAAGGACACCAACAGATTTTACCAACAAAAATGTATTGCACTTTAGCAGAAACTTTAAGTTCAGGTAATATTAGAAAACCCAAGTTGAAACAGTCTGCTGAAAGACATGCAAGGAACCCATGACAACAATTCTGCACGTCAGAATTTCAGTCTTCACTGTAAATCCTCCTCCATTCTAAAAGCAGCTAGAGAGCAGACTCCTGAGAACCTACTTTGCTTACACCTAGAAGCATTTTCATGTCAGAGCTTGCATCATTAAAGAAGAGTGTGTGGAAGAACAGGTATGTAATGCTGTCCATGTTTTGTGCTTGAACACTCCAAACAGCACAGTTACAGTCATTTATTTCCACAGAAGATACAGTCTCCTCTCCAAAGCACTAGGTAAGGCAATTAAAGTTCAAAGGGTTTCTTCAAGGCTTGTGGATGAATTTCCCTAATGCCAGCATTTGGAGAACCATGGGCAAGACTGGAAATATTCACAATAGTTTTTTAAATGTCAAGAACCTTGTCAATTATAATTTCTAAAGTTAATACTTTCATAGTTATGGTACTCAGTAGATTAAATATTAATTATATTTACTAGTAGTATACACTACTACTACTTCTAGTAACTTTTTTCAGTGTTATGCAACACTTCTAAATCTGAAGAAGGAACAGAGACAAAGAATGGAGAAATCATTCTTCTTACTCTGTTTCACAGACAAGTGTCTGCAGGAAACTGAATAAAACATTAAGGACCAAGTTTTCTGCACAGGCAGAATATTACCAGCAGCATTCTTTTCTAATGGCAAAAAGACAGGATGCAGTTAGTGCCCTGAAAGAGCTAAGGAAAAAAGGAATTAACACCACACACTGTACTTACTAGCCAAAAGAAGACTGACAAGTTCCATGCACTTCTTGCACATAATAGACCCACAAAGGCGACAGTGGTGACGTCTGTTTCGAATACTGAACTTATTGCCACAGTCTGGGCAGAATGGAACATCCTGATCACTGACCCAAGGCACGACAGACTTCTCTATTGCTGTGACCAGACAAGAGGGGAGGGAGCACACACAACGTAAGATATTAATTCAATTAATTCCTCATCTGGTTAAACTATAGGGGCAAGTAGTCTGAGGTAAGCTCATACCAACCTCTTATTTTAGCCGACTCGGTGTTTGCTCTGTCAAACGATGTAAGCTAGTAGAAGATAAACAATATATTCAAGAAAATTGTACTTTTGCAAGAAAAAACCCCAATACAACCAAGCCCAACAAGAAAGAAAAACCTGGCATTTTTAAGAGATGGGAGTCTCAGCCTGTTTTACACCAGATTCCTGCAACTTTCCTCTTTATTTCTAATGCCATATTCATACAAGTAGTGCTAAACAATGACTGCCAAACCTATACAAATCAGAGCATTTTGGGCATAATCCTTATCCAACATTACTGCATCTGAGCCAAAATGCAAGTATATCATTGGTAGATTTTGAAGAATGAGAAGCTGGAAGAATCATGACAAAAACATTAGGGAGAAATTTAGTAAAGTAAAAGATGGAGAAAATATACAGGAAAACAGATGGCTGTTGAAGTACGTGGAAGTAGCATCTTCAGCTTGAAAACAGCACATAGAAACAGAAATCACATCCACAGTACAGAGTCAGACCAAACAGTACTCAAGGATAAAAAAGGAAAACAGTAATGTGCAAAGAGAGTTCTAGTTTAGAATCCTTTATAAAGTGCACTGCTAGATAAATGGGCATACTTCATAATAAAATATGATTTTTTTTTTAAATCTAGGAAACATTCAGAAGGCTTCAATATTAAAAAGAAGCAAATTTACCTTTTCTAACCTGATTATTAACTTATTGACTTCAACTACATAGTGATCAATCCTGGCTGCTCGGTGTTTCTTGAAATCAGAAAGATGGCTTCTCATAGCACCTGGGGAGACAGCAGAAAGTTTTCACAGTCACCCAGGTGTTCTGTATAGATTTAAATGCCTCTTGAAAGCAGCTGTCACTTCTCTTCACCATTTACTCCTCATGTTCAAATCGAATTTTAAAGACACATTAGAATCCCACATTTTCCTGGTACTGCTCTAAATGAAACATGCAGGTTAAAGCCTTATCTCCAAGCTAGCAATAAACAGTGTTTTATTTCCACTACAGAACACAACAGGCACCACATTAAAGAGAACAGCTGCAGTAATTTTTTTTTTTTTCCCTTCTTCATCCCTCAGTAACATTTGGCACGCTGTTATCAACTGGTTGTATTTTCAAAACCAACTCCCTTTAGTTTCCTGGCTACACATTGAACAAAGGCAAGAGGCAGGTCCAATGATTATTAGAGGTCTATGCAGCAGCAATTTCTCTTTTCAGACTTCTGATCATCCTTCCACCTTTAGGGGTCTGAATCAAATCTTTGATGATAGTTCAGATTTACAGAAAACTGATCACCAAGTATACAAAAGAACAATATAGCATCTATTTAAAAAACGTACAATTCATACTCGACAATGTTGGTTTCAAGTTTAAGTATTGTTCCTCTTCCGAGTAAGATGAGCCAGGTATTAAAAATCAAAGTTACAGACAAAATTAAAAATAATAAAAAAAAAAAAAACAAACTTCTTTCTTCAGACTGGTACAACACAAAATCAGATGTTAGTTTTTGATACTACCTATTTAAGTGTAAGAATCAAATTTCCTCATGCTAATGAAATAATCAAAAAGCCTCCAAAGCTCAATTCACAGAAATGAAAGGGCCCCTCTGGGTAACTGAATTCAGATACTGCTTTGGAGACATCACACAGCCCCTTCCACAAACCCACCAAATCCCATCCTAAAATTCCTAAGGTTCACCTTCTCCACTCTGATCAGAAAACAGTTCTCACTTCTCTAGTGGTCAGAACCTTCTGCTAGTTCACTGCCTAAATTTATTCTTAGCTTATGACTTTAATAATAATTTAAGAGTATTTATATAAGAACTTAATAATAATTTATAAGAATAATTTATTCTTATACTATGACTGCTGCTGAAATAGTTACAAAGTCAAAAAAGTATAATCATCTAGAAAACTCAGACTCTGCAGACCCAAAGGACTAAGTCCTAGTCTGTCAGCAGCCCCAGGGAAACTTTCCCAGGATCTGCCAGAGACAGTGCTCCTCCCTCTGAAAATAACCATCGTATTTCAGTAACAGCAAGAGGCAATTTCCAGTAGCAATATTTGTAATTAAAGGCTCAGTCAACCTATCCTTGAAATTCTACAAATGTAGATTTGTATTCAGAAGGGTGGGTTTGGTTTTTCGCCCTTTTTTTTTTTTTTTTTAAGTAAACATCCTTTTAATGAGAGATGATCTACACCTCAAATCCAAGGAAAAAGCTGAAAGAGTTGAGCTGAAATCAACGGACAAGCTTTTTGTCAAGACATGTAAACTAACAACTACTTCAAGTGCAGCCCAAAACCTAGAGGTTTTATTTAGCTATAGCTTATTAGGCTGAGGGAGCTGGGGTTGTTTAGTCTGGAGAAGAGAAGGCTGAGAGGTGACCTCATCACTCTCTTCAACTACCTGAAGGGAGGTTATAGCCAGGTGGGGGTTGGTCTCTTCTCCCAGACAACCAACAATAGGACAAGGGGGCATGGGCTCAAGCTCTGCCAGGGGAGGTTTAGGTTAGATGTTAGGAAGAAATTCTTTACAGAAAGGGTAATCAGGCACTGGAACGGCCTGCCCAGAGAGGTGGTGGATTCACCATCCCTGGAGGTTTTTAAAAAGAGATTGGATGTGGCCCTTAGTGCCATGATATAGTAATTGGAGTTGGATCAGGGGTTGGACTTGATGATCTTGGAGGTCTTTTCCAACCCAATCTATTCTATGATTCTATGATTCTATTATTAATTAGTGGATTATCTGTTTTATATCAAGCCACAAGATGGTTGCAGAACAACTCAATGAAACTAGATGCACAGAGGCAAACACATATCCAGCAAGCCTCAACAGCTCAGGCACAATGACATGACAAACAACTATCCTGCTCTCGACATTAGTTGGAGTACTGATTCTATACTTTTTTTTTCCTTCTCCCCATTATCTGCATTTTTCCCCATCACCCCACATAATGTAGGCAGGCTGCACAAAATCAATATGCAAACCATAACCCCGCGCAACGGCAAATCAAATGCAGCACAGACACAATTCCATGCAACTTCAGCAATACCACAGCACTTTCCCAATTAAGACTTAAATAAAAGTTATCCTCACTGCGTATCACTTTCTAGCTCTCCTACCTACTTCCTGGGGCTCCCACATGTATGGATCTACTCCACCATAGCTGAATGATTCATATCGTTCCTGAGATCCAGAATCAGTTCTGTCATCTCCTTCTCGTTTCAGCAATTTCTTCTTTGCTCTTTTGGCTTTCTGGACTAGACCTGAAAAAGATAAACCCAAGCTATCAAACGTGGCAGGTAGTCACTGAATATTTGTCACAGGAAACCAGTACGGAATATTCCTCATGTTTTGGCCCAAGCCTTTTTCCTCAATAACGAGTTTATCCTCAACACGTTCTGTTCAGAACGAAAATGCAGCTCAGAGAATCACAGATGACATTAAATGTTCTTTGTTATCTCTCATAAAGTAGCACGAGGGTCCTTATGAAAAAAAACAGCAGTTTTAGACGCTCCGTTCAGGGACTTCACTGTAAAACCGTAAGCTGTCTTAAATGATGGGATCCGTTACACAGCATTCTGGGACATCATCTTAATTCACAATGATTTTCTTACAATTCATGGATTGTTGCACAAATTACAAACTAAGAATTTCAGTGTGCTTCTATACTTACATAAATTCAAAAGCACTAAACAGTCCACTGTATTATCTCAATATGAATGCTAGGGAGATGAGGGCACTATCCTGGGCCAAAAATAAAAAAAAGCCCACAAAAAAACCAGGAACATGAAGCTTCAGAGCTTTTGCTGCCCTTGCAGCAATTTTCCTCTCTGGATGCTAGCAGCCGAGGGGACTACCTTTCTTGCCAAACACACCCAGTACCTCTTTGAAGCAGATCTTTCATACATCAAGCCTTCTAACCAGCTGCTGGGAAACACAAGTTAGCACATCCTTTTGTATTTCTTATTTAGTGTCCAAAACACTGGAACTTCCAGCTTGACCTCACGGGAGTCTGTCTCCCTGAGCTTCAGGCACTAGGGCTGTGCCAGCAAGCCCCTCATGCAGATATCCTACTTCCCAGCAGTTTTCCAGCTGCTGAAGTTATGCTACCTCCCAAAATGACACTCAGTGATACAGAACACGCTTCTCAACAAAAATCTGTCAGGTCGGCAAGGGCTTTGCTAGCGTTGTAACTTTGTCTTAAGAAACAGGATTTCTCCCTCCTCCACCCACTTAATCTCAAGCCAGCGCAGCAAATGCCAGCTAGACACGGCCGTTTCTTAAGTGAAGTTTACACCATCTAAATAGAAAATGTATTTGCACTCTGGACTTTGAAAGTCTGACATATTCAAGAAGAAGTAGGGATGCCCCATGGGTCTGCCACAGACACAAAAGCTTTTCAAGCAAACTCCATAAACTTGTTTGCCATGAAGTCAAACTTAACCACCTCAGTATGGAAGTAATAAGGTGACTAGTGAGTACTGCTAGAACTCCACAATTAGGATAGCTGGTGATGCACAGTTTGAACACTAGTCCCTAAATCAGGTAGTTTTAATAGGTGACTCTGCTAGCCTTCCTTCTTCTAGAAGGGACCTCGCCAGATAGACCTGGACATGAATAACTAGGACAGAAAGTAAGCAGACAAAACCAACATCCTTTATGCAGGAACACATATGAAAGAAAGCCTGAGAAGTCACAGTACACCATTTTAGATTAAAAAAACACTAAAGAGAAAAAAATAACAATGCAGGTGCTCTGTATTAAATAAAATAAGTATTTGGGAAATCTTACCAAGCCTAAGTTGTTGCTGTTTTCTTTCCTCCAATCCCAATGAAAACCATATTGTTGTTCTGGTTTAAATGCTGCACGGAAGCATCTGTGATTCAGCTATTACAGCACTGTACCCGTGATGGGAACACAATGCAGTACTGACCAGTCTACTTTCACTGTCCAAGAAGAGCACAGTGCTAAAAGCCAAGAAGTAGCCAAACTGATGGAAAGCAACTTAAATATTCATTAAATACTCAACTGTACTACCTTTAAGACAGGCTTGTTAAAAACACAAACTTTTAACTTAGAAAAGAGACTTTTGAAGTAATAATCAGCAATCTCAGGAAGAAATTAAAAAAAAGGGGGGGGGGGGGGGGAGGAAGAGGTAAATATTCAATATTCAAGAATGACAGGCCACTATCTCTAGTATAATAAAATAAATCCAGGAATATTTTTGTAGGGTACACACAGAATTATCACCAGTTTTTGCACATTTTTCTCTCAATGTAAAATAACACTGTGTACACAAGGGGGGTAAAAAAAGGGAAATATTTTAGATAAACAGAAATCCAAAGGATTCTGCAAACACCAGTAAAAGCTGGTAATCCATAGCACAGACCCAGGACACTCACGGCACCTACTGACAGCTCCACCACCCACATTCTTTTCCATCTCTTCCCACCAACAACCTTCCTTAACTTTACACTTTAACTGCAACTACGGTTTCATCTACTGTCAAAACAAGGGATTAACGAATCAGTACCCAGCAAGTACCAGGAATTCCCCGTATTCTCTAAGGTCTCCAAGAAATGCTTAGGAATTCATCTAGGTTACAGTATAAATCAAGAGTTTTCAGATAAAAACAAATAAACAACAAAAACCCAAACAACCGAAAGGCCAATAATAAAAATAATGTGTAAAATCCGGCATTTGATGACTAAAGAGTGATGGCTCCTAAGTGCATACTTTCATTAAGTAAATTCTAAAACATGAGGAATAACGCAGAAATTATGCCTTGGCCTGTGGAAATCTACAGAAAACCAGAACCCCACACCCGTTACTGTTTCTAGCAGTTCAGTTACTGTTTCTAGCATCTATACACCGAGAGCGCCGCAGCACGAACGGCTCTGCCGTGCGGATCTCAACGCGGCAAAAGCGGCCAGGCCTCTTACTTTTGAGCTGCCCCTTGACATCCCTGTCCTCGCTCGAGTGCTCTTCTTCGTAGTGCGCCTGAAGCTGACGGAGAGATTGCAGGTCCTTCAGGCACAGCGGGCAGAGGAAGCCTTCCCTCACCTCCCCCGGGTCGCCGAAGGGC